TAGGTACCATTTTAAACAATATTTTCTTAAATGTCAAAAAAATTTAATCATTTTTCATTTGGAAACAATATAAAAGATACCAATCGTAAAACGTGTAGTTATAAGCATATAAACAAGTTTTATGTTTATTGTATTGTATATATAATAGTAGGTATATTATAAATATTATGAATGCAATTAATGAGCTTATTAATTTAGATTTATGTTATAATTATTGTTGTTGAACTAAAGTTTTGAAATAATATTCCCATGTCAACTTATTTATTATTTAACCCTTGCGAGATTTAATAAAATTAATGATATAAAATAATATATACACTTTGCACTTTGTGCGAATTAATATTTAATATTTAAATTTTGAATTGTAAAGTTAGTAAAGACCTCTAAATTTAACAGAAATCTGTCTAAAACAGAATTACTTAATGGCTTAATAAATAATAAATAAATATTATTAAATTCACATAAAATGGTCTATAGCGAAATTTATTAGCGGTATTCGGCAATGAATCTATTTCTATATCTATTATTCTATTCGACCACAATAATTTTAGCTTGATATCAATATTTTTTACGACCACCAGAATGATAAAATATAASAATTGAGGATCATCATAGTATAATATTAAAATAAATGATTACCTATATTGTGTTATTTTTTTAAACATTTAAAATTTACTTTGAGATACGAGCGTGTATTTATATTACACGTGTTTTTGTGCATGATGTCAACATTAGGTAGGTAGGTACCTATTAGTATTAATCGATGAAATGTAAGTACTCGTTGATATTATGATATTATATCATAGTAAAAAAAAAAAGGTTTTCCATAAAAAAAAACAGTAAGAACAACATACATAAACATAATATTATGTAGGTACCTACCTTTATCATAATTAAATTAAGTCATAACAATACATTAAACAAGTAAATTAAATGTCATGTCACCATATTATGCTCAGCTCTGCAATAGCCCGTCATACATTTCAACTAAGTGGACATTRTTTGCAATATCGTGTGAACTTACATTTAACGTCAAGGTGATAGGCATCACTTATCGATTTTCCTCTGGCATTTGAGGCTATGCACCGATAACTTCCAGAACCTTTACGTGTTATCGATTGTAAAACTAATGTTTGATTGCTCACAATTGTCCTACGGCTTTCATGCTGTCCGACATTTGATCCCTAAAATTAATATTGAAAAATCACTCGGTTTTATTCAGATATATTTCAATAGTATAAAAATAGATAATAATGTGCAATAAACACATGAAAATAACACAATGAATCGATTTAAAACGTGTATATATTGTTATACTGACATTATGATCCCAATCAAGTCTGGTTATAGACGGAGAAGCATCGATAGTGCAGTCAAAGTACACATCYGACCCTTCTTTGATGTTGGAAACATTTAGGTTTCTGCCTAGACATATTTTTAGCCTTGGAGGATCTAAGTAAAGATAATTTACCATGAAATATTATGMAAGACTTATATAACTTTAAATACCGTACAGTGAACGTTAAGTATTATTTGTTGTTCTTTTGAGTCAGCCGGAAAATATATGTTGCTTGCAACACAGCTTATAACACTTTGATCATCGTCATCAGTTGGCACTAGTTTTAAAGTGCTCCATGTCATATTATTGTTTTCCATCACCTGAAAATTAATTGTTATATATATATATATATGATACAAAGTTAAGCAAGTTAGATTTTATAATTTTAATTTGTATAAATATATACAACCTTTGTTAAATTTAAATAATAATATAAATTTTTTAATTTACAGTAAATTTAAATAAATATAATTTTTTTGGAAAATGTTTTATTTTTAGAAATATTAATTAATAAAAAAAAATTGCATTAATATTAATTTTAATATATTTTTTTTCAATTAAAAACTATAGTTTTAAGTATTCTTTATACTATATATAGGTTCTATATGTATATATTAGAAGATATATCAYAGAAATATCTAAGTTTTTTTATATAAAAAAAATAATAAACCAAGCTTTCACATTTTGGTAGAAACTTAAAATTTAATTTGCGTTGTATTTTATGCAAAAATAATTCTATCAATTTTATTTTATGAAAAAATTACTCATAAAAAAAGGTATGAAGTATGTACTTGTTTATTTTTTTACAATAAATACTCAAAGAATATTAATCATGGTTTTTAAAACGACTTGTATAGCTGAATTGATTCCAGCAAACCATTCTATAGAATTGTTTAAAATAATTTATGGTTAATTTTAGTCGTACATTTTGTTAAATGATCATAGTACGTAAAAGAACAACAAAAGAAACTACTAAACTAGGTCAAGTCCTTTTGATTATAGCAGTTGACCTTTAAAGATACAAAAATACTTTGATCATTTCAAAACGTTGTTGGAAATATACTCGAATGAATCAAATATCATGGAAGTATGGAACTACCTATTCAATCGCATTCATTGTTATTTGCATATAATTTTATTTAGTGCCTATGAAATATTCAATAAAGGAAATATAAGGCAATACGGCAATGTACATACCTTTATCCTTTTTGTTTCGTACTCGATGACCCGTCCATTGTGGTACCATGTTATGTTGGCTGCTGGTCTTGAACCATATGAAATGCAATCGAGATTACTCGGCTCTCCCGAGAGAAAAGGATGTTCAGCTCCTKTTATAGCTATGCTTAATGGTTTCACTGTAAAATGTTTGGAAACAAAATTTAATAAGATATTTTTAAAATAAATGTTAACTAACCTTTAAAAACAAATATTTGGTTTTATTTCTTTGAATTAATTGTGAAGTTTTTGATTTTAAATTGTTTTATATTTTAAAACACAATTTTTATTTGACATAAAAATAGTTCTATATTTAATATTTATGAATCTGACACATTGGCATTGTAAATTGTTATAATAATAAGTAGTCGAAATGTGACAATAAATAAAATTGATCTTACTATTTTAATATTGGTACACTTAAAAAGTTAAATTTTCAAGATCAAAAATATACAACTGACAAGTTTTTAAAAAAAAATCAAAAAATATATGTGTATTATCATACACTAAATTTAATAATATCTGTATGCTAATATGTTTTTATCAACATTTTCATTAATCTTTTATTAATTTATCGTTACCTACTTTGAACGTAAATTAAAATKAATGAACGCATTTTACAGAATGATTCACCCCCTCTCCTTTATCTTTTAATAATACATTAATCCAAATACTAAGTATTTTTATCTATACTTAAAGATCATATTTTGAAATACTTACATTTTTACACAGTTTAAAGAGTTTCATGGAGCTCACTTACTTATTTTGTCAAATGAGAACCAATACGTAACTTAAAATCCAATGATTTTTTTTGAAAATGTTAATGGATCTAATTTAAAATCTAAACATGCAGATAATTTCTGAATATTATTAAATTATGTATACAAAGGATAATATTCCACAAAAATTATTATACAAAAAAATAAAATAGATGTAATATTTGATTTTATACTTATTAAAATCAGACAGTTTTTATAAAATATAAAATGTTGATGGATATTAATTAGGTACTTAAATTTTMAAATCTCTAGACATATTATCACGGACTTATTATCCGTAATACACAAAGTTAAATAACTCAAAAACTACTAGTTTCATTTCAATCTGGATACATCAACATTTAAAAAAAACTTTTCTGCTTCATAATTTATAGTAAAAAAGGTTGTCTTTCATTTGAAAAAAGCTTAAACCACTAAATGACACTTCTTAAATTATGTAAAATATTAGAACTTCAATACATTTATTATTAAATACAAAAAATGAGGTGAGCTTACTTGGTGAATCATCCTCTGCGCATCCCTATATTATATTTTATAGTATTTTTCAAGGCTGGGCAAGTTAATGATTTTTTTTTTTAACTCAATTAAGTTAATTTAAATAGTTTTTGTTCAATTAAATTAAAAGTTAAGTTAATATTGTTTTTCAATACATAAATTAAGTWTAAAATTAAATTAATAAAAAAAATCATTGAAAAGGTGAAAAGGAAAAATTAAAATGTCAGTAAACAGCTCAAAACTAATCAAATATTTTGAAAATTTTATCAAATATAGTAAATTCCTATATAAACATTCAGTGAAAATTTCAAATATTTGTGGTTTTTTCCTAATCCTATGTTGTAAAAATTTATATTTCAAACGCTCATCAAAATTTAATTTG